TACTCAATTATCTGTTGTCAACACATAATCAAGTAAGTGACGAAAAATTCTGTTAAAATGGCTTACATGGCTAGACCTAAGGAGAGGGTCCAAGAGGCTGTCATCTCAGACCCAACACTTTAGGGGGGGCCCAAAAAATAGTGTTTCATTATTATTATTTTTAAAAAACCCACTAAATACTTTCAAAACCTCCCATTCCCATAATTGTTCCCAATAGGCTGCAGTTGTAATGTGTCCAAAAAGAGTTTATGACATCTTGTTTTTTAAATATAGTCGAATCATCCCAATATAAGCGGCCAATGACAAATGGACGGACAACCGATAGAAAATGGCTAGTGTATTCAATTTCCTTAGACAAGATCTTTTATTTTTACTATAAGTTGTTCAAGATAGAAAGATAAAAATTTTGATCAATTGGATAATGATAAATATAAAGATTGGCATAATGTGTACCAGCATCTTACAAAACATAAAGTGGCTAAGGAACATATATGTTGTATGACTAGTTGGATGAAATTGAAAAATAAGCTTTAAACAAAACATACAATTGACGAAAACATACAATTGGCCATCAAAGATTGAATGGATTGACAGTGTTATCCTAGAAAAAGAGATGGTGGAACAACTCGACTATTTAAAATTGATTGATATTTTTGCCTCTAAAATCGCAGCACTAGTTGTATTTAAGTGATCGTTTAGATTATTTTCGCATTGATATTTGATTGTAATATATATTTTAAATATTTCATTTTATATGTTGTTTTATTGTTAATTTTAAGTTAACAAATTTAGTTCCGTAAAAGTCTTATAAATAAAAAAATTAATTACTTGCTACGATTTAGGAGTCCATATTCTAATGTTCACCTTAGGCCCTGCAAAGCACAAGTAACTGCCCTATGGGTGTCAACGAGACAAGACGGCTCGATTTTTCTGGAATTTTTTTTCCTTATATGCTGCCACAATTTGGAGGGGTGGAATGTGATTTAAAATTTTCAAAATTTAAAAATAGAATCTTGTTAAATACCAAAAAAATAATCATGTATTCCCTCTCTATGCATCTTGGCAACCATATAAAATAATCAAATCAATGGGCCCAACACGCTTCTTTAAACCAAAAACATTTTATAATTACTTTTTTCTTGAAAAATTTCAACTGGTCTTTCACTCCAAGGTCTGTTTCCAGCAGACAACTTCCTCTTCAATGGACGGTGTGGCCTTCAAACGTCCTTTCTTTAACACTCAAACTTAGGGCTCATGCTTTTACCATGGGAAGCAATGAAAGTAGTCACAGCACTATGAAGATAGCGTGTGTTTTCAAGATTAGTATAATGAGCAATTGGTTTGAACAGAATTCTGTATTACCCAAAAGATTATTTTATTTCATATTGGCAAAATTGCTTTGATTACATAGGGGAATACAATAAAAACTTAGCCTATCATGGCTTCTATCAAATATTTTTAAAGAAAGACAGGATTTTAAAGTAGTTTACCTGCCTGTTTGACTTTTTTTTTTTAACGGGTCGGCCCGGTTCGAGCCGACTCCCCGAAATGGGGCTCGGTGCCTCGGATCCTCGAGCCAGGTCAAGCCATCCCTAAACTGCCCTGATGACTTATTCTTATTATGTAATATTTTACAGTACGAGTGATTAAACAAGAAATTTATCTAATAAAGGTGCTGTGGAAGTCGAGGTTCTATGATCATTTCGAGAGGCACTTTTGGACATGTGGTCAATCCAAAAATCTCCTCTAAGCATACATCTTCAGGCTTCATATTCTGAGGCAATTTCCAGTTAAATCCGTGTAACAAGTTGGCCAACGTTGAACGAACAATCTTAAGTCCCAAATTGTACCCAGGACAGCTCCGACGACCCGACCCAAAAGGCAATAGAGCAAAATTTTGTCCTAATATTTCAATTTTCTTGTCCAGAAACCTTTCTGGCAAGAACTGTTCCGGTGCATCCCAATATTTGGGATTCCTTCCAATACTCCATGCATTTACCAGGACTATCGTTCCTTTAGAGATATCATAACCTGTTGGTCAAAATAAATTTAAATAAATAAATGTATATATAATTTTATTAATATAAGCTTTTAAAAATATTAAGTTCAAGTCATGTAGTTACACAGTTATGAAACTTGTGAGCTAAAAAATAAAGAACGGATTGAATTTGATGAAAAAATAAATTATCTTTGCACATTATAGAGTGTCGATGACAAAATTTAAATTCTTAGATGATATAGTTAGACTTAACCTGATACATTGCAGTCTTCAATGGCAAAACGTGGCGCAAGCAGCGAAGCAAGTGGATGTAGTCTTAAGGTTTCTTTCATTATAGCTTCTATATAAGGCAATTTGGAAAAGTC